GTGGCCAAAAAATGCTGAAAAAATTCTACATCAGGTCCACACGACGTAACAACAAACACAAAGTGACAAAACAAACACAAAAACAACAAAAAAAGCAAGGCTCATGAGAGCACTTGCTGACGGCTGCCTACTCGGGCGCCATCTTGACTGGATCGTATGCTCGAGCTGAGGGGCGAGCACAAACCGGACTTTCTTTTTCTTCACCTTTTTCTGCGTCTTTTTCTTCACCTTTTTCTGCGCCAGTTACCTACCCAGGTGAGGACAGCTTCTGCTAACACTGCTATCACTGACTGTAGAGAGCTTGCTGCGGAGGCTGATGAATTTTTCCTGGCCAGCCAGCAACACTGTGCAGCGGCTCTCCTCCCCGTGACTGCCACTGGTGCCTCCGAGGATTACGCACTCATCGCGGCAGCTGTCCTTCTCCCACGGCCGGCTACTGGTTTATGTTTTTACCACGCCAAGTTTGGACCGAAGGCTAAGAAGTGCCACTCCCCGTGCTCGTTCGGCGGGCCGGGAAACGCCGTGGCCGGCGCTCATTAGTGGCCATGAGCGTCGGTAACGGCGGGCTGCTTTTCATCTGGGACTCTATCTCTGGACGGCATTTCCTCTGCGACACTGGGGCACAGTGCAGCATTTTGCCCGCATCGCAGATCAACATGGTAGCTGACAGCCACAGCCCTCCTTTGGCAGCTGCTAATGGGAGCCCCATTCGCACCTACGGCATGAGGTTCGTGGAACTCTGCTTCAGTGGGCAGCGCTTTAGTTGGAACTTTGTTACAGCGCGGGTCAATGTACCTCTTTTGGGGGCGGATTTTTTGTGCGCTCATGGACTTTTAGTGGACGAGAAAAATCAACATTTAATAGACGCTGCCACTTTTTGTTCTTACACGTGCACACTCGGCCCGGCAGACGTCATCCGCCTCTCCAGCATACTCCCCCTCACAGACGCTTTTCACCGCCTGCTCGCTGAATTCCCTGCATTCACACAGCCCACCTTCACTTCAGCGACTGCCAGGCATGGGGTGGAACACCACATCGCCACCACAGGCCCACCGGTCTACGCCCGCGCCCGACACCTGGACCCGGCCAAGCTGGCTGTGGCCAAGACGGAGTTCGACAACATGGAGCGCCAGGGGATTGTCCGCCGCTCTAACAGCCCTTGGGCCTCTCCTCTCCACATGGTCCCTAAACCCGGTGGCGGCTGCCGCCCTTGTGGAGACTATCGACGTCTCAACAACGCTATAACGCCCGACCACTACCCTGTGCCGCACATCCAGGAATTCTCAGCGCACCTAGCTCCAAGGTCGACCTCGTTAGGGGCTACCATCAGGTGCCCGTTCACCCCCCTGTCATGCCTAAAACAGCAGTGAGCACACCAAGGCCCCTTTGGAACACTTTCACGTGCCTGAGCGACGTATCGACCATGTTAACGTCGACCTGGTTGGCCCCCTGCCCCCTTCTCGGGGGTACACTCACCTGTTAACTATGGTCGACCGCACCACACGTTGGGCGGAGGTCGCCCCGCTGTCGTCCATTACATCAGTCGACGTGGCGCGGGCCTTTATCGGCACCTGGATATCCCGTTTTGGCGCCCCTGCGGATATTTCCTCGGATCGCGGCTTGCAGTTCACTTCTGAGCTTTGGACTGCAGTGGCAGACAGCTTCGGGATGAAGTTGCACCGCACCACAGCGTATCACCCACAGTGCAACAGCCTTTGCGAACGTTTCCACCGGTCGATGAAGGCTGCTCTTCGTGCCACCTTGAAGGATGGCAACTGGATTGACAGACTCCTGTGGGTCATGCTGGGCATCAGGACGACGCCAAAGAGGATCTCCACTCTTCCTCTGCGGAGCTGGTTTATGGCCAGCCTCTGCGGGTGCCTGGAGATTTTGTGCCGACTGCTTCTACTCCTTGGTCGGCCATGGCGCAACGCTCCACCCTCTTGGACAATGCCAGACTTTTTGCCCCTCTGCCCACTTCCTGCCACGGTGTTCCAGGTTCTCACGTGCCCAAGGACCTCCTGTCAGCTAGTTATGTGTTCATTCGCGCAGGTTCTCACGTGCCCAAGGACCTCCTGTCAGCTAGGTATGTGCTCATTCGCGTTGATGGGCACAGAGGGCCCTTGCGCCCTCCTTATGAGGGCCCCTTCCGCCATTGACATGGGGGGTAAACCCGAGCGGGTCTCGGTGGACCGCCTTAAACCAGCTCACAGTATCATCATCGGAATTTACCGTCAAATAGCAGCATAACAGGAGCAGTTATAAAACAAATAATTAAAAACCCATAGACATGTAACACTCACAAGTAATCCAAACATGACGTCATGAGTCGCACCAAGAGTCACACTTATCTACACACATGGAAAGATTAATAAAGCACATATTCTCATCCCAGAAATAACTCTACAAACAAACTAAAATATTCTTCTCGCTTCTTTCCCAAGTCTCCTGTCTATGTCCCCCTCCCACACATGCACACACAGGACAGGTTTTGCGCCTGCATACTCGCACACATACACCATCATTTCACTGTCAAACAAGCCACTCTCTCTTTCCGCATCCCTTCAAAATAAGACTTCCATGCAACAGGAAGCAACAAGAAAATGTCCAATATACTTACAATTAAGCAAACAATATAGTCTCATAAGTTCCAATGTAATCCTGCAGGTGCACTATTTTATGTGTTTTTAGCTGGCCAGCAAAATCATATATTATCATCCACATATTTAGACGTCAAATATTGGAAGGACATTGGAACTCTTGATGAACTTTCTGTCCATATACGTTAATTTCTTATCAGGATCCTTTTCATCCGCGGTTCTACCTTTTTACTGATTTGTATCCCCATTTTGCAAATTTTTGGATGGGGTCGCAAACCTCCATTCACAGTTATTCATACACTCTTTGTCACTGTTTTCTCACACTCTCGTCCTCTCTCAGGCCCACACGCTCTCGCCCCACACACACACATACACGCACACCTTCTCACTTGTTCACTCAGTAACACTCATTCAGAATGGTTTGGTATTTGTCGCAAATTTAACCATTCACTTTCCCGAACAAACTCTCCCGCCATTTTGGCAATATGTTCGAACTTTTATTTTCTCAAAGGTATTTTATACTTACTCAAACAAAAATACCCGATCCTTAATTTAGCAGAAGCACTCGATATTCTTTTACAGAAGTATCTGATCCCGATCGTAGATCAGTGTACTCGATTCTTTCAAAAGTGCTCGATCCTTTTTCTTCTCAAAAGTACTTATGACTCCAAACAAAAGTACTCGATCCTTAATTTAGCAGAAGCACTTGATACTTTTTTACAATAGTACCCAATCCCAGATTGTCATCGAAGATCAGCGTACTGGATTCTTTCAAAAGTGCTCGATCCTTTCTATCTCAAAAGTGCTTGATACGAATCCAAAGAAAAATACTCGATCCTTCTTTATTTCTCAAATATATTCTTAGAAATTACGATTGCGCATGTCACTGTTCATCCAGCCACAAATGTATCTTTTTAGAATATCAATTCAAGACGTAATTCTGACCTCGATCTCAGCCAACAGACAGAAGACAAATTTGGAGGATAAATGTCCTCTTACCGCATCAATTGTGGGCGCCCGATGTTCTGTCTGTTGGCAGAAACTTCAGTCCGAAATAACGTTGGGGTCACCAAATGTTGGGGGAAAGCGGCCTTCTTTCTTCCGCGTGTTCATTGAATTTCGGACGAGGAGAATGTTGGTTCTTCAAATAAAGGCTGGAGTCGATAAACAGTTGCTTCAAAGCTTTTAATAACAGAATATTCCGGGCACCCGCAAATTACAGACAATGGCTGCGCATCACGAGTGCGAAGCAGGAAAAGACTCATCATTTTGATACCATCAGAATGGCGGTACCGAGACACAAGGGGTGATATCATAACTTTCGTTTGTCCGAAACCAATTCTCAGGTTGGCGCATTCCAAAGTTTGTGCGTCTTCAGCAGGGAGTATTCCAATTCTAGGAGATGATTGTTTCAAGGACACCAAGCTACGCTGTGGGCATGGGAAAGTTACACAGTATGACTGAATATGAGAAGAATACAGAGTTCAGCGGCATTCATCCGTACTCAGTGGGTCGCACTCCTGACTTTGGCAAAAGAGATTTTGGGATCAAGTTTTGGTCTGGGACATGCAAAGGTCTTAAATGTTTAATTCCACATTGCAACCACTGCTTGGAAGGCAAAGTCACCTTCCCTGGCCTGCTTTGAGGTCATTTTAAAACCTATGGAATTTTGTTTCATCCTTAAATCTTGATTATTACCCATAGCTGTCAATGTGGTTGAGTGGGTCGCACCTGTGATTTTGGACTTAATCCAAAACAGCCATTGTCTAATGCAGGGGCCCCCAACCTTTTTTGCCCCACGGACCGGTTTATGTCAGACAATATTTTCAGAGACCGGCATTTAAGGTGTGGCAGAAATAATACAACGAAATAATATGGTATGAGCTGCATGAAAACTGTGGCGTTTTCGAAATATAATAATAAACACAAGGAGTGTCTAATCTGGCCGCAACACTCCGATCGCCATGGCAATGTTTAATGCCTTCAAAATACGATACAACGCAAATTCAAAGTGCATGAAAATGACGACTCACCACAGCACCGAGCTTGATTTTCTGCAACCAGACGGTCCCATCTCGGGGTAATAGGAGACAATGACACCTCAAGTGTGTGGTTTATGTCCAGTCTACTTCGTAATTTTGTTTTCGTCGCCGTTGCTGCAGAAACCCCCCGCCTCACACAGGTAGGATGTCGGAAATAGCAACAGTGCTATTGTGGCCATCTCAGAGCATTCAGCCCTAACTTTAATCCAGTGTGTAATGCATTGTCAGGTCTGAAATTTTGAAGTTCATTTTGTAAACATTTAAAAAAATACTTGGAAGCCAAAATACCTTTTAATTGGTACTTTGAAACTGTTTTAAAACACGAGGTAAGACATCATGACATCAGGATTTTTTTCCATTCGATTTTATAACCTGATAAAAACCAGGACCCCTGCGCTTCCTTTGAAACCCTGACTGCTTTAAAACCCACTGTCATCAAGTTGAATTTTTCCACTCCATTTTGGGACAGCTGTCAAAGATTGTTACGGCTTGAAGATAAGCCTTCACAACCTTAAATACAAGCTCCTTTGTAACTTTGAGTAACCGCAGCTGTCACTGTGGTTCAGTGGGTCGCACCTCTAACTTCAGACTCGATCCAAAACCCCCATGATCTTGTGCGGCTACTTTGTCAGATCTGAAATGTTCAACGCCGTTTTGTCTCGACCGGTTAAAATGGGAACATTGCTTGGAATCCAGTCACCTTTAAAACCCTACTTTGAAACTCTTAAAACCTGAGGTAACATATTTCATTAAGGTTTTTTAGAGCCAATTTTGTCACCCCCTAAAATAAATAAATAGATAAATAAAAATCAGGACCCCACTTTGAAACCAATCCTTCCATTGAAACTTTGACTGCTTTAAAAGTGGAGGTTACACACTCAGACAACTGAATTTTTCAAGCAATTTTTAGGACAGCTGTCAAAGATCATGAGGGCTTGGAGATCAGCCTTTGTAACCTTAAATGCTCCTTAGAAACCCTCACTGATAAGTAACTGCAGCTGTTAACTTGGCTCATTGGGTCGCACCTCTAAATGAGGACTTGATCTAAAACCCCATGTCTTGTGCTGCTAATATATTCTATTTATATTTAAGGCTTGAGACAAAACCTGCTGCTACATCGTCAGATTGAAAGATTTTAAGTCCATTTTGTAACTGCTGTAAAAATTAGGGGCACTGCTTGGAAGCCAAACACAACTTTTAAACCCTATTCTAAACTCTGTTTTAAAAGTCGAGGGAACACACCTTGACATTTTCAATTTGTTTTTACTCACTTTCATAACCACAATTAAAAAAAAAAAATCAGGAGCCCTGCATAGAAGCCAAACTCTTCTTTGAAAGGTGTTTCATCCATACCTACATGGCATATTCCATTGGCTTCAGAAATAAAACAAATTGAGGACAGCTGTAAAAAATCTAAATGGTTTGAGATTAACCTTTGGAACCTAAAACACTCCTTTAAACCCGGCGGGACAGGCCTGGAACACCTCACCAGATCGGCGTACAGGAGGCATCCTCATTTAATGCCAGAGCAACCTCATTTGGCTCCTCTCAACGTGGAGGAGAAGTGGCTCGTTTCTTGGCACTTAATTCAAAACTCCCATATGTCTTGGGCTTGTACATTGTCAGGTCTAAAATTGTAAACCCCATGATGTGACCACTGTTAAAATGGGAACACCACTTGGAAGCCAAAGTCACCAACCCCACTTTGAAAATGTGTTCAAACCTGAAACACATAATATTTGGATTTCTTTACACTCAATTTTAGAACCACGGTTAAAAATCAGGACCTAGTGTTAAAAACTTTTAAAAACAACCATTCATTTGAACTCCTGACTTCTTTAAAAGGTGAGTTCTGGGGAAAAAAAAACAAACAAACAAAAAAACAGGACACTGCATGGAAGCCATTCAGCCCTTTGAAACAATCAAGGCTCTCGACCCAAGGACACACTTTGAGAGAGCTGATGTGTTTTCGCAACTAGATTTTTGGACATTTAAAACCCCAAAAGTTCTTTTGAAACCCTAACTGATTTGGAACCATGGCATCAGTACTCGGTATTGTGACCCACTGACTGAGGACATGGCGGTTTTCTGATCGAGATCTGTGTTGGGTCCTTCTCCATTTTGGAGTTTGGAGCACATTTTGTTCCAAGTGTTAAAAATAGGCACATTCCTTGAAACGCCAAAGTCACTCTTTAAACTCGAAATGATATAAACCCCAAAGTCATTCGTTCAGACAGCTGAAAAATTGCACCTCATTTTGGGACTCCTGTCATAAATCATCAACACTTGGTAGCATTTAAGACCCCAAAAGTTCCTTTGAAACCCTGACTGATGAGGAACTGCGGTGTCATTACTCAGTCTTGCGACCCACTGACTGAGGAGATGGGGGTTTTGTGATCAAGACCTGTGTTGGGTCCTTCTCCAGTCTGGGGCTTGGAACCCATTTTGTTTAAGGTGTTAAAATGGGTGTACTCCTTAACACACCAAACTCACCTTTTAAACTCGTAATTATAAAAA